CCCCCCCCCCCTCTTTCAGCAGCATCTTCCACCACATCATGGTCTCCATCTCCTACCTTCTCTCCTTCGTTGTCCTCCTCTTCCTCCTCCTCCTCCCTTCCTTCTTCCCCCTTCATTGTGGACTTCATCCATCATCCATTAGTAACCGAGCAGGACTCATTCAGTGTTTTAACCTTCAAACGAAACAAACAATTTCCCTAAATAGCCCATTCCTATGTAAACAGACCCTCCCATCCCACCATCACTCCTCTCTTCTCCTCTCCTCTCCTCTATTTGCCTTTCTGAAATTCCTTGCAGATCTCCTGTTTTTTATCCATCCACCCTACACATATTCGGTATCCGGCGTGACTTGCGATTTTCTGCACCGCTCCCACAAACACGTCCAGATTCGGCGTGACATCCAATCCTCGTCGCTGGTAGTGGGGCCTCGCTCTTATAGTGGAGGAAGTTCCTCGACTATAGGAGCGAGGACCCATTACCAAGCAACGAGGATTGGATGTCACGCCCGAATCTGGACGTGTTTGTGGGAGCGGTGAAGAAAATCGCGATTGATCTTCATTTCTGCATCTGTGGGTAAATCACATCGAGATTCTGGTGCTTAATTCACTCCTCGTTGGCGGTGGGATCTCGCGCTAACAAAGAAAATTTCCAGCGAACCAGCAGGGGGGGGAAAAAAAAACACAGCAAAAACATGTCCAATAATTCCACCTACAGGCAAATAACGTAACTATTTTTTTTACTTCGGGTGAGGGGCAGCACACCTTTTTCTTGAATTAACCACAAATCAAATAAGAACAGTATCATAAACGAACGTATAGATATATACATATCTATTGTCTACTGTTGTTAGCCTGCTTTTCTATTCTATTCTGTTCTATTCTATTCCGTTTTGTTCCCTTTCCCGAGGGTGGGTTTTCTTTTTCTTTTTGTTTTTAACAAAATAAAAAACCGATGTCTTTCGAGGACCTGCCATTTCCGTAAGGGCACCCGACCGTTCCCGCGGTTTTTTTTTCTTTTTTTTTGTGACAACAATCGTTTTATTATTCCAGGTTTTGCGGTTTTAACATGCGTTTTCACGTTTGCAAACACCCCCACTCAAACATGACATTTCATTTTTCGATTTATTCGTGTCGCATCCTTGCGCAGGGGCCGTGCAATCTTCTCTTCCTCTGTCTCGTTCGGTCCAATCCTTCTTTCAACGGATGCACCGAACGACAAACATGACAGTCGCTACTCAGGTTTGCAAGCACCCCCAGTCAAACATGGCTCTTTCAAGCTTGCAAACACCCCCACTCAAGCATAGACTTGTACGATTTGCGAACACCCACTCTGCAGCCTTGAGATTGGGGGGAGATGTATATTTATAAATATAGAGAGAGTAGGGATGGAGACGGAATATGGATATGATGGGCGCTGTTGACTCCATCATCATATACATACATAAATACACATCAGCCTCCTGATGAGTCGGCGAAACTCCGACGCAACAGTTCGTCACAGCCCCTCGTCTACGTTTTACCGGCAGTTCTGTTTGAAGATATATAGTATTATATAGCCATGCTGTGCCTCTAGTGCCAGCGGCGTGTCTGGAGTGTATTTTTTGGCTGTGACAGACCTTTCTTTGTTTCGTGGATGTTTTGCGGGCTTGTGATGGGGTGTGAACCGACAGTCTGTAGAGTTTTCCATCTGGTGTGGG